CCTTGGGTCAAATTTTTTCTTCAGTAGACTCTCTTGCATATTCGGGACGTTTGGTTTAAATTGCGTGTCTAATTTCGAAAAAGTTTATAACATAGCTGGCTTTTTGAATACTGTTTTTAAGTTTTAGCACCAGTTTGTTTAATTATGTAACATACGATACTCATTATGTAAAGATATTGCGCAATGATAGATTAATTTATTTTTTTTTTTTAAATTTAAAATTTTATATTTTCATAAATTGATCATGTGCAGATGCACGAAATTATTAAGCCTCATTATTAACTAGTTGAAGCTGTAGGTTTCTTTTTCTTTTCAGCTTCAGCTTCTTTTTCTTTTTCAATTTCACTAACTATAGCCTCGACCTCTTCAACCTCCAAATTCTTTTGCCCGACAAAAATAAAAAGCATTTAATGACTAGTTACAAGCAAAAATGATTGACAATGAACCACGAGTATATACTTTTCTTACCTTAATAACACTGTCAGCTGTCATTAAAGCTATTTCAATATTCTTAGCTCCAGTTTGTACAACTTCTAACAAAGATTTAACAGTTAATTTGATAGTTTCATCTTTAGTCAAACCTTCTTTATAATTTTTTTCCAAAAATTCACGAACGGTCTTCGAGCTTCTACCAATTGCATTAGCCTAATTATAACAAATAATAATAATTTGTAAATAAAAATTTATTGCATTAAATAGGCAAATGTGTTGTTTATTTAATTACCTTCCATGCAGAATATATACCAGATGGATCCGTTTGATAGAGTCTAGGCGTTTCATCATTTGCATCGAAACCAATGATGAGTGTTGAGATTCCGAAAGGACGAACACCACCACTTTGTGTATATTTCTACACACGGAGTAATTTAAAAAGACACATATATTTGTAAACATAATTCAAATTGAAAAAAAAAAAAAAAAAAAAATAGAAAAAATAGAAAAATACCTGTTGAACACCGGCAATATATCGCGTGATATATTCAATTGTTACAGGATCTTCTACAGTAAGCCTATGACTTTGACATTCTATTCTAGCCTTATTGACAAGAACTCTCGCGTCAGCATTTAACCCTGGGATTTCAATTTGGTGTTGAACAATCAGTAAGACTAAAAATCCAGAATTTCATATGGGATTTAAAAGATCAAGCCAAAAAAATTTTTTTATACCAGCAAAGGCCATGCATACATGATCATCTAGCATTACAATCTTCCGCACAGTCCTAGGATCTTGTAACTTGAGGACCGATTTTTTCTCAACACCAAGAACTACACAATCATTACCACGAACTCCTACCTAAATAAATTCAAGACTGTCCTTAAGAGATAATCGTATGAATCCATAGTCGGATAACACTTAATTGACTTAATTTCGCAACAAAAGATATAGCCAACTGTTGCACAGAGACTATCACATAGAATCACCTACCGCACAAGTACCTTTCCTGACAGCTTCTAATGCATACTCGACTTGAAATAAATGACCGTCCGGAGAGAAAACGGTCAAAGCTTTGAGAAAAAAGTGTTAACATTTAAATATTTCCCCATTTAAACAAATTAATTTATAAAGAAAAGTAAAGATACCGCGATCATATGAACCAGCCATCGTTAAGTTAGAAATTTGAGAAAGAAAAAATTGTACTTATATGCAAAGCATGTGACATGTGATTAAGAGGGTGTATCTGTCGTACAGTACTTTAGGGTTGGGGTGTAGGTTTATATAAAATAAATTCTGCCCTAAAACTTAACGCACGTACGATACATACTTACCTGTTACGTAATAACTTATAACTTCGCGTAAAAAATGTCACGACTTCATCGTCAAACCGGTTTGCCGATACTTTCATAAAAAATATAGGAAATCCAGGGGAACAGTAACATGCATTTATTACGATCTGCTAATTCAATAATTGCTTAAAATAGCTGTTATCGTTATAATTAAAGACTCACCAAGAACCATGGAAGTCGATACCTTGTCAATTATTCTACTATTCTTGATAGTTTTTTTCACATACTTATCAATTCGTGAGGCACCAAATTCTGACGTTCATCCTTTATTACTTACCTCTCAATCTGACGCTGCAAAAGTGCGTTATCCTGGTGAAACGGCTGTGTATAGGTCTAATAATTCTCAACATGGAATGCAATTATTGACTATGCCGGAAAATGGCGTTAAGACTATCGTACAGTTGTTTCAACATGGATTGGACGAGGATGGGGGAAACGATTGTTTAGGTTTCAGAGATACTAATGGCACATATACTTGGGTATAAACATTTCTAATTTCTCTTTGAGTGTTCGTTTATATACTTATTTCTAAAATTTCCCATTAATTTTCATTCGCTGAATTCTTTAAAAGCAATCATATCGTAAGCATCTTGATGCTTAGATCTTTGAACTTATATCCTATACCAAATCTGTTCTGACCGTATGGATAATTTTTTTTGATTCAATCCAATCAGGACAAATATCTGAGAGAATAACAAATTTTGGATCGGGTTTGATTAAATTTACTGGCTTAAATCCTAAATCGCATGATAAGTTCGGTATTTTCATGAAAAATTGTCCAGGTATTAACGTTTTGCCATTGAATCTTCATGATATCTGAATTATTCATAATACTTATTCGTGTTGTTTTCAAAACATTTGTAGAATGGGTGATTGCCGATTTGGGTAAATTTTAAAATAAGTTTTATATAACTTTTGTTTCGCAAAATTACTAATAAACAATGTATTATCTGTTTTGCAATTGCAAAGCTGCCTGTCATTATAGCTTGATTACAGTAGCACTGCCTAGTATTCATCCTCGTATCAACGATGCCATCAATCAGATTAACCTTACTGAAATTAGTGTCATCGTGGCATCCAAAGATACTTTGCCTATTGTATTCTCAGTAGCGCCTTCTTGTAGAACGTTGAAATACGTCATAATGGTGAAATCTAGTTTGTCCAAAGATCAGAATGAAAAAGCTGAGACATTAGGATTAACTCTTACGACGTTCAAAGATATTGAAAAATTAGGTTCCACTTCCAAACTGGAATGCGTCGTTGCTGGTAACAATTTTCAAAGACGTTTTCAATCTCAGATAAGACCATACGAAGTTAATTTTTGGTTCTCATAACGTAAAATTTTAAAAAAATGACCGAAACCATTTACTTCGAAAATTCATCTAAAGAAATATAAAATTGTATTATTGAGTTCTAAAAAAAGCCCACCCAGACAGTTAATATAGCCAAAAAATCTTTTTAAAATTCGATCCAGCCAAGTTATGAGAACCAATTTATTAAGTTTGTAATGGCCTAACCAGAAATTTTGTCAATTAATTATTATCTTATCAGCACCGGAGGATACCGTGACCATCGTTTTTACAAGTGGAGCCACATCAGGAGTAAATATTTCTGCTGTCAAGTTTCTTTCATATTGGCATAGTATTCTAATATATATATTGCATCAGGGACCGAAGGGTGTCGAACTAAAACACTCTGTAAATTATCCTTTCTATTATTTTCATACCTTAAAATGTGCAAACTTTACATTATACTTACATATATCTCTGTTAATAGAATCTCGTAGCAAATGTTTGTGAGTATGAACAGTTTGGAAAAATAAAGTTGATTGTAGATTATTTATCGATACCTTCTTTCATAGCTGGAATTCTTTCCGCTATTCATGCTACTCAAAAAATAAAGACCTCGGATAGACATCTATCATATTTGCCTCTTGGTAAGGCTATTTATGAAATCATTTGTATTTGTCCCATATTTTTTGCAAATTTAATTAACCTTCCTAAATTAGCATATATGTTTGAAAGAATTACGGTCATGGTGTTATTATTTTCTGGCGCATCGATCGCATTTTACAGTGGAAATATCTCTACCATTCTACAAGATGCAGAGGAAGTTAAGCCAACTATTTTCACCAGGTATATTGTTCGCTAGTTTGAGTTTTATAAAAATATTAGCTAATTATATTTATATATTATATAGTACTCCCCGCATGTTGTCTTGCCTTCATGAAAATATTTTAAAGTCCTTAGAAAACAAATGGTTTTTTAAAAGAGGATTCAATTCTAAATATAAGTACTTAAAAAAAGGAAACCTTGTTACTAATTCAATATGGGATATTTTAGTTTTTAATCAAGTAAAGGCCAAATTTGGAGGCCAAGTTCGCGTTATTGTTACTGGATCTGGTATGATCGTATTGTATTTTTTTTTTAGTTTTCTTAAAAGAGATTAATCAGAGTTTTTTGTAGGTCCAGTTACGCAAACCATACTCGATTTTTTTCGGATTACTGTTGGATGTCAAGTTATTCAAGCTTATGGTCTTACGCAATGCAGTGGCGCAGTAACAATGAATGCGTTTTATGATTACTATTCAATTGATCAAAATGGTCATGACTCACATACGGGTGGTCCACTTGCTTGCAATGAAATAAAATTAATAAATTACGAAGAGAGAGGTTACACTGTCGAAGATGTGCCTAATCCCAGAGGCGAGGTATGAATTAATTATACCATAGTACTTTTTATCTGTTTATTATGTTTTAATTTAGGATTTGTAAATTCAGGTTTGTGTACGAGGCCCCAATGTTATGAAATGTTATTACAATTTACCCGACGAAACATCTCATGTTATTGATTCAGATGGATGGTTTCATACTGGTGACATTGGAATGATCTTACCAAATGGGACTTTGAAAATCATTGACCGAAAATAAGGTTTCATTGCTTTATATCCAAATCACTTAAAAGCTATTCTAAAAAATTGACAATTTTTTTTCATGCTTAAATATTTGCTTAAAATTCTTATTTATAATTTTTTTTTTATATTGTACTAAAATGATGGGTGTATCCTGCATTATTTGACTTTCTAATAAAAAAAAATTTTTTTTTTTTTGGTTGGTTAATTTGCTGCGTTCATATCAACAAATAATTGAAAATATAGTAGTAAAATCAATTTATGCCCCAAAATCCTCCAGAGACGATGAATACTTCTATTGGTACATAAAATTTTTGCTGGTTGACAGAATTAAATGAAATTTTTAAAATACGAGAATGCACTTTTTATCACGTAATCGGCGACTTCGCTGTATAGAATATTTTTTATTTATAACGTTTAGATGCAAATAGTCGAAAACCGGACTTGGAACCGGGCTATAAAGACTCGAAATCTAATATATGTTTATGCAATGTTGTCACTCAGTCTGCTAGAAAAGGTATTCCGATCCATTGGAATAGTTTAGTCGAATCCGCTGGTCCGTTGTAGAGGAATA